AAAAATTTTTAAAAAAAAAAAAAAAAAAAAAAAAAAAAAAAAAAAAACCAATGAAGCAATTTTAGAAGTACTGAAAGGGAAAAGCACCCTGTCAACCTAGAATCCAATATGTAACAAGAATTCTTGTTCCAAAATAAAAGTCAAATAAGGGAACCTTTTAGGATTACAAAAGCTAAAAGAATTGTAACCAACAGACCCATATAAAAATTGTTAAAAGAAGCCCATGAGGCAAAAGGAAAATTATGCCCCAAAGAAACAGATAGACAGGGCTGGGGATTTAGTTCAGTGGTTCTGCCACCTGCCTCACAAGCACAAGGACTCGAGTTCAATCCGCCGTACCGAACAAAACAAAACAACAACAACAAAAAAAAAAACAAACAAAGAAATGGATAGACACAAAGAAATGAAAAAAGACTAAAAATGATAACTACATGGGTTCGTATATGATTATTTAAATCTCTCTAAAAGATAACTGACTACCTAATAACTACATAATGTAGGATTTATAACATAAATAAAATGACCACAAGAGTAGAAAAAATGACAAGACAGTATCAAGCTCTCTTAATACTACCTGGAGTACTGTATCACATGAAGATAAAGAAGGATACTATAAACCCTAAAGCAACCTCTAAAATAACAAGACAGTTACTAAGCCAATAAACAAGGTAAAACAATCACATGAAAAATGCTCAATTAACCCAAAAGTCAGGAAAAAGGGAACAAATAACAGAATGGACTAACATGCCATTTCATAAGTCAGCCAACCAACCCAGAGGGCAAAGGGAGGTGAAGTCCCCACACTGCCTGCCTGGTTCCCTCACCCATCCATCGCCTCCTCAATCTTCTTCTTCCTCAATTCAATGAGTTCAGGGGTCTCCATTCCAGCTGGCACTGACGAGAACCCTCCAGGAGTGATGAGACCACTGTGAAGAGAAAAATAAGCTCTGGAGTAGAAATAAGGCTCCAAGTAAAGGCCATTTCAGAGAGCAGACTCCATTTCCCCACCTGTCTGCTGGTGTAATAAAGCCTGTCTCATCTGGTTTGTCTTCATCACTTTCTTCCTCTTCCTCCTCTTCAGAGGATTCTTCATCAGATGGCTCTAGTTCCCCCCAAGGGGTCCGATCTATCTCTTCTTCTTCAGTCTTGGTCTGAAAGAGATCACTCATTTGTTCAAGACATGTTTATTCAGTACCTATGATTTGCCAAGCTGATGTAAGCTGAAGAGATGTAAGAGTAAACCGTCAATAACCCTACCTATAGAGGTCATACTGCAGTGGGAAGCTGCATTTCACCAAAGGAAAACGCATGCCCTTTTTCAGATTGAAACTTCAGAATCCCAGCTCCCTGATAATGAAGGTACAGCACAACTATCTAACCTTACTTCATTAAGTAAAACCAAGCTCACCAGATCATGACCCATACCTGAAATTCCGCAGCATTGGTTCCAAAGACGTCCCCATAGAGTGGTTTTCCAGTCTCATCTACTGGGGGTTTGCCCCAACCACCAGCATGGTAGCCAAAGGAACAGCTCTGCAGGAGAGGGAGCACTAGTGAGTTCCACTCCTAAGCTCCAGAGGAACACTGAAGTGCTCCAGAAAAGCCATGCTGCAAAGTGAAGAACTCATACCTGAGAATTCTGGAAATTACTATTGCAGAATAGAAATATTAGAAAGCAAACACAGTAAACACCAAAACTATGGAGGTAAACAGGAAGGAGGAGAGGAGGTAAGTATGCTTCAGGGTGAGACTGCCTGAAACTAAAACAAGGAACTTACAAAATCTGAACTTCACTTTCTTCCTGATTTTCCCTACCTTTAGAAAACTGAGCTTGGTTAACAGTTTTCACCTACAAAACAGAAATTTTTGCCTAAAGTTTAACAATACTAACTTTCCCACTTTAGTGATTCTTTAATCTGTTCATACTTTTTTTATCTACTACCTTTTATTTAAAAATAATAAATTTTATGCCACTCCCTCACTCCAGTACTGGGGCTCAAATTCACTAAAGAGCTACATCCCTAGACCTTTCTTTATTTTAAAATTTTGAGACAGGATCTTACTGTGTTGCCCAGGCTGGCTTGGAACTTGCAGTCCTGTCTCAGTCTCACAAGAAACTGAAATTACAAGTGTACATCATCATATCCAGTAAAATTATTTCTATCTCTCTATCCCTGTAACTATCAAAGAACTATCTGGAAACACATTCACTATATATTATCACTTTTGGTTATTTCTGAGTGGTAAAATTGTGAGTGATTTATCTATGTGTGCATTTTGACTATTTTATGATAAGCATGTCTGTTTAAAAAAAAAACCAAAAAAAACCTGCCGGGCCGGGGATTTAACTCACTGGTTCCACTGCCTGTCTCATAAGCACAAGGTCCTGGATTTGATCCCTTGTACCAAAAAAACTTACTTTTTCCTAACAGGGTAGAGATAGAGAAGAAAAATAAAGCAACTTCTCTAGAGAAAAAGGAAAGAGCGATACAGTTGGGCATGCTACCCCACACCTGTAATCCCAGCATTCTGGGAAGCTGAGGCAAGAGGATCAGAAGCTCCAGCCCAGGGCCAGGGATTTAGCTCAGTGGTACCATCGCCCACCTCACAAGCACAAGGTCCTTAGTTCAATTCCCGTACCCCCCCCAAAAAAAGGCTCCAGCCCAGCCTAGGAAACTTAGAGACTTACCAAGACCATACCTCAAAATAAAAAGGGCTAGGGAAGTAGTTCAGTGTGAAGAACTTGAGTTCAGTCCCAGGTATTTCCAAAAAAATAAGCCACGCATGGTGGTGCACACCTGTAATCACAGCACTCAGCAGACTGAGGCAAGAGGATCCCTTCAAGTTTGAGGCCAGCTTGGGCTACACAGTAAGTTCAACTCCAGCCTAAACTATATAGTGAGATCTTTATCTCAAAAAAATCAAACAGGCTGGGGATTTGGCTGTGGTTCCGCAGCCTGCCTTGCAAACACAAGGGCCTGAGTTCGATCCTTGGTACCACAATAACAAAAAAAACAAAAAAATCAAACAAACAAACAGAGGTAGTCATGGATGGGTATAGCTCAGTGTAGAGCACTTGCCTAGCATCCTTCAGACCCTCAGTTTAATCCACAGCACCACAAAAAAAATATAAACAGCAGGGGCAGCCAAAAATAAAAATAATCACAACACTTACCTCAGGGATAGGCGAGTTGAGCCCAGGGATTTTCAGGTTGGGATATGATGGGGGTGGTCCATATCGCTGCATGGCAATCAGCCACGGGGGAGGGACCTTGTGGGCATTCTGCAGGAAGAAGAGAATAGGCTACCACCTACCTATCCCTATCCTGTCTCTTCCTTCTGCTCCAATTTCCACCCTCTGCCCTGCTTCCCCAGCCAGCTAACCAACACTCACTGGTCCCACTGGCATCCCCAAGGAAATCCTCAGCTCATCAGACAGATCACCAGGCTTCTTCTCCTTCAGTCTTGTCTCAAACTCTTTGCCCTGAGGACAAAGTACAGCATGCTGTATTGGGGACGCCAGACACACTGGGAGCTCAATGGCATGAGGACATGTTAACAGTAATGAGAAGTCCTAATCCGCATGAGACACAAAACCTCATGAGAGCTGCCTGGCTCCCACTCCAATGCCAACTAGAGTGAGGGAAGGAATAAAAGGCCAGATTCTCAGTGCTGTCACTAAGGCACTGTGAGAACACGGCCAATTTCCGGACCTGCTTTCTTCTCTGTGAAATGAGGGCATAGGACAGGGTGATCATCAAAGTCCTTCCACCTCAAACAGCCCATGTCAGATGATTAATATTTTAAGCATCAGAAAAAAAATACAACTTTTTTCCCACTCCCAATATTAAACGTTTTTGAAAAGCATCTGTCACTTGGCCCCTCAGTTCCTAAACCAGCCACTACAAACTAATATTGCTTCAAAGACAGCTTGCATCTCTCCTCCAAAAAAGAACCTTATTTTAAAATTTCACATTCCGTCTCATCTGAGGGAAATTAATGGGCAATTCTAGGGCCAGAAGCCACTCAATCAGCTTTGAAACCCCTTCTAACCAATAACCATTGGTTAGAACAGAGTCATGACACCATGACTCAACTTTGCCTCCCCAGCTCCCTTTCCAAACCTCATAGTACAGGTCCCCATGAATGGTCAGCTTTGGCTTGGTTTGCCACTTGAAGAAGGCATCATGAAGTTTCTGGTAATCAATATCAATCTTTCCCATCTTAGGCCGAACTTTCTCCCGCATTTTAGATTTCATGGTCTTCTGTTCTTCCTGTGAATTTAGGTAGACCTAAATTAATAGGTATTTACCAACTTTGGGCAGGAGGTGTAGCCCAGTGGTAGAGTGTTTGCCTAGCAAATATAAAGCCCAGGATTTGAACCCTAGCACTAGAGCGGGGAAAAAGGTATTTATCAACTTCAACTCTTAGTAGAGGTTCTGATTCCCTAATCCCAAAGGAGATCAAAAGAAACATTTATTTTACTTTTCAAATTTAGTTCAAATCCCCCGAAATTACATAACCCAATAGGCTAAGGGCGTAGAGTATGTATTTAATATACTCAAAGATCTGAGTTCAATTCCCAGAACTTAAAAAAAAAAAGTTATATAACCCATGCTGAACACAACAGATTTAGTGCATAAATCAGCCTCAGCTTTGTATGTCAATAACTATTCTTTAAACCCTCTGGTCAAGGGTACCCATTGGTACACTTAAAACACCAGTGGACGTGCTAATAAAAATTAAAATTAAATAAATAAAACACCAGCTGTACTGCACAGGCGAGTTCCAGATGGCTTGATCTGATCAAAGCCAGATCTCCTTAGTTGCCTCTGGAAAAGACTGGGTAAAAGAGGCCAACTGGAAGGCAGAGTTTTCAATGTGTACTTTTGTACATCCTAAATTCCGGCACCACAGGCCATGAGTACTTATTCAAAGTATTTAATTAAATCCTTTAAACTTAAGAAATTATACAACCAGAGAGTCTTCCAACCACAAAAGGCACAAGGGAAAGGAGTCACAAGGTGACTGTTCACTAGGTGAGCTGGTAGAGTGAGGGGAGAAGAAAGAGAGACAGAGACCTTGCATGGGGCAGGGAAACACTGGGAACCAGATTCAAGGTCTGACTTCCCTAAGTTCCCTGTGTCCTTCCCCTACAAAAGGTGCTGACTTCTAAACTGCAGAAAGGATAACCAGACTAAGTAACAAGTAGGTGGGTTTGGGGAACCTAACTCCAGTTCTGAAGCAGGTTGCCACAAAGGAATTGGGTGCCTGAGAGGAGGTCTGTGCCCTACCAGGCCTCACCTTTTCCTGAAGAGCTTCACGCATCTCCTGGATGCCTGTGCGTTTGATGAAATCTGGTAGCTCAAAGGGGGGCTTCTCAATGCCCCGTTTGCCTTGCAGGTACTTGCGCTTAAAACACCAGTGTCGTGGCACAGGCACAGAGTTCCGGGTGGCCTTAAGATGAACCAAGAGCTTAGGGTCCTGCGCTGTCACATCATGCATCTCCACAACATCAGGCCGGGCCACCAGCTGGAAAATACATAACAACATGTCTTTAAGAGGTCTTACTGCTCAGGTCTGAAGCCTTCTTCCTTTTTCCTCAGAGGACCCCTCTCCCAAGTCAGCTGCACCTCCTTCAAAGCCTGCAGAAACTCCAGAAAACCCCAAGAGGGAGCTAAAGACTCCTCGGGTGGTCTCTAGCCAGGCTCTAGGACCTGCTGGGTCATCTTGGGCCTCACCTGCTTGAGTTCAGCCACAGTGAAGCGATTCATTCGGCGCAACTTCTTCTTGGACAGCTTGGGAGCTTCTGGCTTCTTTTCCTAGGACAGAATGGTCACCTCTTTTGAGCAGGACTCCTTGGTGGTCCTGCCCAGCCACCCTAAAATTTAAGTCATGAGAGTCCTGCAGTCCCTCAAGGGAACCATCTCAGCCACCTATACCCAACATCCTAGTTTCCCAAAAGCAAGAATGACCCTGACCCAGGTGAGGGATGTAGCTCAGTGGTGCAGTGTCTCCCTGGTAAGGGCAAGGTTCTGAGTTTGATTCCCGGTATCAAACAAAAAAAAAAAAAAAAAAAGGAGATGACCCTAACCTGCTCATCATCACTGCTGTCATCATCACTATCCTTGTGTTCCTCTTCAAAGCCCTTCTTCTTGGGGGCTGCAGAATTCTCTGTTTTGTCAAGTTTCTCTGGCTCCTTCTCTTTCTCTTTCTTCACATCATCTGTGAGCTGAGGAAGCAGACCACATGAAAACCCTAGCCCTGCAAACCCCCCAGTTCCTAAACCCTGCCCTGAGACAAAACCTCCTCATCCCTGTCCCTCCACCAACCTGCCACTCTCTTGATGAGCATGGCCCCCTCACAGTGTGCTGCAACTTGTACCTTAAAAGCCTCAAAAATCCTCTTGAAGAAGATGAAGTTGGGCTCATAGATTTCAGGTTCTTCGGTCACATATTCAATCTCTACATCAGCAGCAGGGGACTCAGAGCCTCGGGACCGGGTTGAGTCTTTCTCTCGGTCTCGGTCTCCAGAGCTCTCCAAGGAAGTCACCCGAACGCGCTGGGTCTTTTTCTTCTTCTTTCGGTTACGACGCTTCCGGTTTTTCTGTGAAAACAAGGAAAATCAACTGGGTCGAAGAATACAAGCACCAAGCCTGCCCCTGCTTCCTAACAGCAGTTCAAAGCTCAGTCCTTTCCAAAGAAGCAATTTCACAAATAAGCCTTGGAGACAGACTCCAAAGTTCTACCTCTTTGGCTAAGTTACTGCACCTCTCAGAACCTCAGCTTTTCCAGTTGTAAAACACAGGCATGTACAATACTCAGAACTCGAAGAGATTTCTGGCAATTAAATAAAAAATATGTGCAAGAAGCTTAGCACACAAAAATGCCACAACAGTAGTTACTCTATTCTGAACACTTCAATCACTTTAGTACCCAAGCCAACAATCCTTCCAGACCAGCTCCATCACACCTCCTTTTTGGATATGGACACTGTGTCCTCCTCAGTTTCTGATGCTGACTGGCCCAGGGATGAGCGAGTGTCTGTTTCCATTTCCTCTTCCTCTGTCAAGGAAGAAGGCACAAGTCAAGTTTCCTCAGAGTATTTCACAGTAACTTCTCTTTGCCAAGAGCCAACTACTATCTGGATCTTCTTCAGGGAAGTGATGGTGGGGAGGAGAAGAGGGGCAGGAGGATGCAGCCTCGCCTCTTCAGCTTCTGGGGCTGCAGCTTCAAGACACACCAACACTTACCCTGCTGCAAGTTCATTTCTTCCTGGCGGCTCTCCTTCAGCTGCAGGATCTTCTCTAAAGCCTGGGGGATCTTGGGGCCCACAGAGGGATCATCCATCTGCCAGACACAACTGAGTCACAAGGGCTGACACAACACCCTTTCTCCTCCGACTTCCTTCCCCCTCTTGTCCTAGAAAGGCTGTCAAGCAGCAGACAGCAAGCAGCACAAACCAGACTCAATAAGGTGTGGCATCCCTCAGAGGGAACTCCTGAACTCTGCCTCAGATCTGTCAAACCTAAACATTTTAACTAAGTATGCCACTCCCCACATATAGGAATCTAAATCCTTCCAATCTTTTCACAGAATCCTTCTATAAAATCTTGAAATAGTCTCCTTCCAAACCACCACTCTTCTGTTCCTGGAAGAAATCATCAGTCTCACCTCTCTGTTCTCATCTCCGGGGGGTGGGGGTGGACCACGAGGCCGGGGAACAGGGGCCCCCATGGGCAAAACAGTGGGAGTGGGGCCCACTGGGCCCACTGGACCTACTGGAGCCGCTACTGCAAAAGGAAAAATAAAAAAAAAGTTTCATTCGAGCCTTAACTATGAACATACTCAAAGATGATATAGATCTGTCAGTGAAAAAAAGAAGTCCCATGTCAAGAAACAAAACAATCCTTTAAAAAAATATACTCCTAAAAGCCAGGCATGGTGGCACACGCCTGTAATCCCAGCACTCAGGAGGCTGAGGCAGGAGGATCACTGTGAGTTCAAGACCAGCCTGGGCTACATAGTGAGTTCCAGGTCAGTCTCAACTACATAGTGAGACCCTGTTTCAGAAAATTAATTAATTAATTAATTAATTGAAAAAATATACTCCCTTTACTAAAAATCAGAGTGATGGTTATATTTACCCTTCAGGGCAGGGGTGGTTTTGAAGTGCTGAGAATGTCTTGGTTCTTGGTCCAGGTGTTGGCTCTATGAGTGTTAGTTTAAGAAAATTCACTGTCCATGTCCTAGATGTATACTTTTTTGTACCAGGGATCAAACTCAAGACCTTACGCTTGTAAGACAGGCATGGTCTAGATGTATATCTACAGGGAATCTGTCTCAGGACCCCACATGAGAATGTTCAAGTTTCTTATATCAAATGGCATAATATTTGCCTAAAACCCACCCATATCCTTCCATACACTTTACATCATTTCTAAGTTACTTCCAACACCCAATACAATGTAAATGCTACACAAATAGTCATTTTCTACTGTGTAGGGAATCACGAAAAGAAATAAAGCTTGTATAAGTTCAGCACAGATGCATTTTTTTTTTTTTTTTTTTTTTTTTTTTATCTCATTAATGTAGTTCAAACTGGCCTTGAACTCATGGCAAGCCTCTTGCCCCAGCTTCCCAAGTGCTGGGAATCAGAACGTTCCACACCAGCTAGATGCAAAATGTTTCATATTTTAAATCCACAGCTGAATGCTTAGATGCAGAACCAGCAGATAGGGAAGGGCCCACTGCACCTAAAAAGTCCTTCGGGGGCTTGAAGTAAAGCTTAGTGGGACAGCACATACTTAGCCTGCACAAGGCCCTGGGTTTACTAGCACCGGGATGAACAAAAATGGCTTTTAAAACATTTAAACCACCTTCCTTGTTCTTCCCTTCCATTCCAGTCTTACCTCGAGGCCCCAGAGGGGTGCGAACACCAATCTGACCCATGTCTTGTGGGGGCCTAGGGACTGGGGTGCCCATCTTGGCAATCTCCTGCTGCCGTTCCTGCTCCAGTAACACAGCAGCCTGCAGGAGGGAAGTAGGAGTGAAGACACAGCTTGAAAATGTGTTTGGCAGGCAGCCCCCAGCAAATCTATTCTTTCAGCTGGGTAATAGACCTGTGGAGAACAATCAGGAACCACCGGGGTTCTTATATCCCTTCCACCCCCACACTTCCAGGCTATGATCAAAATTAGAGAAGACCTGCCATCACAACTAAAAATAACACCAAGGAAAATCCCAGGAAATTTCTAGTTTTAGAAGAGGACTTGCTATTTTGGCTAAACACTGTCTTCTAGTTTTTCAGTGAGAATTTCCTTTCCCAAAACATTAACTTTTTCTGCTTCTTTTTTTGAGACAGGGTCTTGCTATGTAGTTCAGGCTGCTTCTAAACTCAATATGTAGCCCAGGCTGGCCTCCAACTTGTGGCCATTCCCGTCTCAGCCTCCCAAGCATTAGGATTACAGGCCTGTGCCATGACACCAGGCCATTAAATAATTTAGAACTATGAACTCTTTTCTTATAGTTATGCCTTAACATTTGCCAAAATCTGGGCAAAGCCAGTACTTCACACTTATACCCAAATATGATAGTTTTAATCCTTATTTTCTTATACTTCTGAGTAACCCACTGGGTAACAATTGATACTAAGCATTCTGGGGCAGAATAATCTTTAAATGACTAAATTAGCCCACCGTTCTCTCTAAGGCACCTTTTCTGTAATGGACCACAAAGTAAATATTTAGGCTTTATGTGCTATTACATGGACCTTGTTACATATTTTTTATGTGTTTTTTCTTCTTAAAGAGCCCTTTGAAAAATATACAAATTGTTCCTCATTCACAGACCATATAAAAGAAGGTCACAGGTTGTAGCTTGCCAACACCTGGACGATAGGTAAAATGGAATCCTTTGAAAGATACTGGAACTTAGTTGGGAATGAGGTGGCCTCCAAGGAAAACTTGAACGATGCATCTTATTTTGGACACTAGGCACTATATAAGTGACAGTCTTTGGACTGGACCTTGAGGTCAAAGGTTAGGGGGAGGGGTATTACCCGCTTCTGCTGCTCCAAGAGCTCATGTTCCTTCAATGAATGATCTCCCTGCTTAAAAGAGAAAACAAGCTCATACCAGCACCAATATCCCCCAGGCCAATCTGCCACAACTTTTGCTACCTGGGCTCCTGTTCCAGCCTAAGACCTATGCTCTAGTCTTTGGTCCAGATCTTCCCAAATGCGGCCCCAGGATCATCCAGCTTTCTGAGGCTCCACTCCCCCTTCAGGAACCTAATGAGGCTCAGGTGCAGGCATCTACCTGCCTACCTGCTTGGCACGTTCTTCTTGCTGCATCAGCAATGCTGCCTGCTGCTGCGCCAGCTTCAGCCGCTCCTCTTCAGACAGTGCCACAGGCTCACCCACACGAAGAGGAGGCGGGGGCCCCAAATTTGGTGGGTGAGCCATAGGAAAGCCCAGGCCAAGGCCCGGTGGAGGTGGTGGGGGTGGTGGAGGAGGCTGCAGAGGAGGGAGTCCCATGGGTGGCGGCGGCATGGGAATCCCAGAAAGCTGTAGAGAAAAATACAACCATAAACTAAGAAACATTTATCTATTCAAGCTTCAAACATTTGCAGTGACTCTACCATGAACCAGGTGCTGAGATTCAAAGTCAAATTATACATGATTCCACAAGAGAATGCTCAACAAGAAGCTAACTTTGGAGCACCAACCAAAGTAAGGTATTAACGCCATTCCCAGAAAAGTATCATAAACACAGATTTTTCATTCCATTTCAGGAGGCTCAGGGACACCTCTAAAAACCATCTAGGTGGGCCAGGGATTTAGCTCAGTGGAACTGCAGCTGCCTCAAAAGTGCAACGTCCTGGGTTCGATCCTGGGTACTGCCAAAAAAAAAAGGGGGGAGGTCTAGGGACTCCTCACTCCACAGTTAGAAATCAATAAATTTCAGCCGGAGATTTAGCTCAGCGGTTCGGTGGCCTGCCTTGCAAGCGCAAGGACCGGAGTTCGATCCCCGGTACCAAAAAAAAAAAAAAGAGAAATCAATAAATTCCAGGTCACAATCACATCTTTTTAGAGAAAGTAACAAATCCTGGACCATGAAAGGGACATGAAAGTTGAGAGGTCTTCAATAAATAGAAACCAGTGTGCCAGGCCACTGCAAATTCCAATGGCTTAGTAAACGCAGGGAGTACACCATCAAATGAGTTAGCCCTCCATGTCTCTAACATGGTAGCTACACCTGAGGGAGCAAAGACTGTAATCATTTCCAGCTGGGAGAGAATTAAGTTAGGTTTCCAGGTACCAAAGTTTAATCTTGAATGACAGGTAGAATTTAGAGGTGCACACATCAAAGGAGTTCAGTGTCAAAAAGAAAGTTTACCAGAGGACTTCCCTATCCAATCTGCTAGCTGTATCCCTGAATACAATGCATGTGAAATAAGGGCCTATCTGGTATATGAGGGATTCTATGAAGTGAAACAATTTCCTTACCTGTGCAGACATGGGAGGGGGAGCGGCTTTGTCCCCATCCTCCCCTCTCAAAACCGGCCGACTGAGCACAATGCCAGTCTGCAGAAAAAGAAGAGTGCTCTAGGTTAGTCCAGAAGAGTTGTTCCACTAAACAAGTTCTCTCCCATTCATTCAACAATATTTACCAATCAGCTATCAGCCTGGGTCTGGGCGGGGTACAGAAGCAATATGGACAGAAGCAGATTATAACAAAGCAGACAAAGGCAAGAACAGGCTAGCGAGGCGTGGTGGCGCACGCCTGTAATCCCAGCACTCGGGAGGCTGAGGCAGGAGGATTGCTGTGAATTCGAGACCAGCCTGGGTTACACAGTGAGTTCCAGGTCAGTCTCAACTACATAGTGAGACCCTGTCTCAAAAAAAAAAAAAGGCAAGAACAGGCGAAAGGACCAAATGTCCTGCTCGCTGTGCCCAAGTACCTAAAGAATGAAGACGCAGCGGTGAAGGGTATTGAAGGTCTCCAGAAGAAGCTCGGCCTATGTAGAAGTACCGCCATCAACACTTACCTGGCGGGTGTAAGTCTGCAGGCGCTCCACCAGCTCCTCACGACTCCCTATAGGGTAAAGCAGAGGATCAGCGGAGCAGGCCAGCCAAGCCAGGACAGACCCTGAACGCTCGCCTCCTTCCCCTGCTCCCGGGTCTCCCGGGTAACCAGGTTTCAGTACAGTGCTAGACCAAGCAGTTTTCTCTTGACCGCCAATGATCCTCACCCTGGATCGGTGCTCCAATCTCTGCCAACTTGGCCTGAAGTTCCTGGGCAGGCCAGGCGCCATAATGGCCTGGAGGCGGCGGCGGAGGCAGCTGCAATTCTCCTTTGGGAGGCTCGGGATGCTCGGCAGCCATCTTAGCCGAAAGAAGGCGCGCGACCAACGCGGAAGCTTGGGCCAGGCGCTGGGTCCACTTCCCGGAACTTCCGGCAGCACCGCGCGCCGGGTGGTGTGATTCGCCACAGTCGCGCCGTGGGCAGCCTACTTATAAAGCCTGCTGGGACTTGTAGTACGCGGGTCTCGGGCTCGCAGGTCCTTGGTCTGGAAGACCGAACAGGGCTACTGTACCCGGAACGCCTGCAGTGGAGCCGCGGGGAGCGCTGGCCCTGCCCCGAGGGGATAGTTGCTGTGTCTCCCCTGCCAGGCTTCCCCAGCCTTCGGGCCAGCTCCCTACCCAGGCATCCGAGGCCCGGACGCTTAAGTTCCCAGGAAGTCCCGAGAGATTCTTTCCCCTGCGACCAAGCGGGAGGTTGGAGCCAACGCCTGCGATAAAACAGTGTCTGATTGTCTGCCCGCCCGCCCCTGGCCCAGGCATAGATGAATGGACTGAAAGGCGATCGGAGCCTTGAGAGGAACGGCCCGCCCGGGCTGAGCTCCAGCTGCAGAGGGGGAAGGGCAACACTAAAGCCCCCTTTTTCCACCTTCCAGACTGGCTCAGATGTCTTCTCCATCAAGCCTTCTTCTGCTTTCTTTTACTTTCTTGGAGCTCTTTTCTCCACCATTCATTTTAAAGCCTTTTTTGCCTTTTCTCTCTGCCTCATACCCCAACTTCCTCCACGCCCCGCTCCCCGCCCCGCAAAATATGAGCAGGTATTTGATCTATTTCTGTCTCGCAAGTACCTGGTGTTCGAGAGGCGACTAATAAATGATAGAGGGGAATAGATTTTGTATCTTTTTTTTTTACTCTTGAAAATAAACTCAGGCCGGGTGTATTGGTGCACACCTGTAATCCCCGTACTTGGAAGACTGAGGCAGGAGGATCGCTGCAAGTTCGAGGCCACCCTGGGCTACATAGTGAGTTCAAGGCCAATCTGAACTACATAGTGAGTCTCTGACTCAAAAAGAGAGAGAGAGAGAGAGAGAGAGAGAGAGAGAGAGAGAGGAAGGAAGGAAGCAAGCAAGCTCAATACCTGCCTTGGGGCCAGAGGTGGGGATTCACAGGTGAACTTTTCCTGCTCAGCTGCCAGTTTTCCCTGTCCTGCATCACTAATCTGGTTTCTCTCTCCGCCACTGCTGCTAGCTCTGCCACCTCAAAACAACATATTTGAGTTTCTTTGTGTGGAATAAAGAAGGGGGAAACAAGTGAGATTTTCTCATTTTCCTAACATACACCCTTCAGATCTTTTCTCTAGCCAGCCCCATTTCACCAGCTATCTCTAATGGAGACATACCTGGGAGCAGGGAAACAAGAATGGGAAGGGAAGGGAAGGCTTGAGACAGAGGAAAGAACTGGGGCAGAACAGGTTAGCTGCCATCCTACCCCTGCCTTCTCTTTAACTCTATCCAAACCTTCACCTTTCCCTTTCCCATCACCATCACTACCCCTAGCTCCCACCCCCAGAGAGGTAGCCAAAGCCAGAAATGACAGCACAGGAGAAAGAATAGTGGTATCTTTTCCTACTCATCAGCCCGCTCAGGCAAAACTATTTCTAGCCCAAAAGCAGTCTCTTTCTGCTCCTGGTAACTGGAGAGCCAAGGGTAGGTCATCTGAGGCTGGAGGCCCCACACAGCCAGATTGTGCTGGGACAGAGGGAGGGGTCTCTAAGGTAGAATAAACTAAGAGCTCATGGGTGAGAAGTTAATGTAGCTAAGATCAGAAAGGAACACATCAGTTGGGGTCTCATTTATCATAGTAATCCTGGGATGTAGCCAAGGTACTCCTCAAACACACACATCAACACTACCACCACCAATTTGTGCAGAGGGGAAGATTGAAGGGCAAAGAGAAGCTGACATGCCCAAGGGGCAAAACTGGGGGCACTTTCCCACTCCTGTCTCTTCCTTAACAAGGATCCTTACATGATACCTACTTACTGTTTGTGTAGACCTAGAAAGGGATATCCAACCCCTTCTTGTCCCAGCAGGATCCTTGCCTTACCTGGCCCAGAGCAAAGGGGAAGTAGGGATCCCTGCCAGCCACATAACCAAGGGTGGCATTCCCAGTGTATGTCATGGCTTTGAGAGGTGCTGCTGCCCAGCTTCCAAGGTTAAGAGCTAAGGATTAAGGAGTACACAGAACCTCAGGTATATAGCTGAAAGCAACAGAGCTCAGGGAACTCTGGGACCTAAGAACAAAACCAGAATTGAATTGGTGCAAGATACCTAGGTAGAAGCTGGCTGCAAAGTGAAGGAAGCTCTGATCAGGCGTAAGCAGAGTAGGTGAGCAGCAGAAGAACAGACTGGATATGAAGGGGTGGCGAGGGCACCCGGGACGGACACAGTTGGAGACTTTTCTGGTAGAGGTGGAAAGAGAAGGGGTAGAAAAGAGGAAGTGAGCATATGGGTGCCTTTGAGTGTAGCTGCACCTCTAACCCATCCTGGAAAAAGGCTCTACCTGCCCAAGGATGACCAGTGGGGCCCAAGAATGCTCAGTAATGCCAGAGTATACAGGCACCTTTCTGGACTCGGTTTTCTTCTGGTGAGTGAAAAGAAGGGAGCTGGCCACATTGGTACTCAGCTCTGCACGGATGCTTCAGAAAGATTCTCGCATCTAAAAATACCACCCAGAGAGTGTTCACAAACAGTCCACAAGCCAGGGAGCCCACCTCCCCTTCCCATTTCTTCTCCTCTCCCCCTCCCCTGCGCCGCCGGCCCC